AAAATATTTTAATTTATAAAATATGATCTATAAAATATAATTTATATTTTAAAAATATGATATATCATTTGTTAGGCGGAATTGCCAGTAATTCTCTCCGTTATTGTATTTATAAATTTGAAGATTTTTAAAAAATCAATACTTCAAGTTGAGTCGGGAAAATGGGCACTAAATTGCCTCTGTCAAGGTTCTGCAGCCAAGACCCAGAGAGTAGGGAATACAATGACTTCTCTGAAACATTTATATTAGAAAGAAACGGATGCGCAGGACACAAACAAATAGAAACATTAAAATCCTAGAAGAAACAAGGTGAACATCACATGAGAACTCAGGAGCTGCCATACACTTTCCCAGGTGACCTCCCTCGGGGGTGACTCGGGTCCTCTCCAAATGACAGACTTCCCAGCCCACAAGGAGAGACTTTCTTCTCCCAAGCAGCAGTCACCCACGAAACGGTCATCATCATAGATGCGGTGATAGTGGGTAAGAGTCCTCGCGCAGGTTACAGTGTCCCTTCCACGCTGGGTAATTTGTGAAAGACTCTTAACTATCTAGATATTCTTCACCAAACTCTCTAAAGCATAGGCTCCTATGGTTGTTCTAACAAGCAGCATTTTCACCTGCTTTGACCAAAGGCAATACATCTGCAAACAACTGAGAAATATCTTGAAAGGCACACTAAATTTGCCAGCATTTTTCCGTGCAAATCTAGTTTTTTCTTATGACCAAGGAACCAAGTGTGATTTCTCCTTTTCATGTTTTTAGGCTTCCCAGTGATACCAACCACTATCCATGCTATTACTCGAGCACTATACTTCAACGACAAGTAAGTATGATGGTAGTTTTGAGTTAATATGTTCATAAATGAATATATTTATAATGATGTTTTCTTCCTTTTATTTCAGCTGCTGGATGAGTATGGAAACCCACTTGCTGTACATTATCCATGGCCCTGTCATGGCGGCACTGGTGGTGAGAATTGGTTTTAAATCTACTTTTAATACTATTGTCTCTTTACTGGCTCTTTTGCAAAACATAAGTATTTCTATGTAGCATGTTATTATAACTTCAAAATGAAGAGAATTTAAGTATAGCCTAGGTAAGGAAAGCAATTTTATTCTTCAAAAAATGTATTTTATTTATGGGAAGGGGTTGCCATAAGCTCATTTTCATACACATCTAACAGTGCTGTAGCTTCAGACTTCTATAGCTAGATTTTCTTGGGTAAAGGTGAAGATCAAGAAGAGTGGAAAAAGTGCTGCTAAAAAGAAAGTATGATACAAGTACGGCATCCTCTGTATCTGCTTCTCTGGATTCTACAAAGACTGTAATCATCTCTCTCTCTCTTTCAAAATCCCAGGACTTGTAAAAAGTTTATGGATAAGGGGAGATGAAGCATCTGAATCTGAATTCAAGTTTTTTTCTTTTTTATTTCTGCCTATGGTTTATTGCATGTTGTCAATGTCAAGACCATCAACATTAATATTTCCTTATTTATATATCACATGCTATCTTCTCCATTAACCACAAAGACAGTGTTTTCTTCAGATAAGAGTGAAAAAGTAACAATCTTGATCATAGATCACAACCTGCTCCTGCACTGAGGAGGCATCCATTCATAACTGATTAAATTGAGATGTCATCCAGACTAACTTTCTAACTTTCCTGACCTTTCCATGAATTTAAATTTTTTGACATTCCTTAGACTAGTGATGAACTCATTCCCCTGTCTTGAACCTTTATACCACGCCATAATAATTCAAATGTCTCCTTTCTCAAATTTTCAGGGTAATGTGTTTTCTATCCTAGGTAGAGAAATCATTTTAACTATTTTAAAATAAAGTATCAATTAAAATTTCAAAAAAAGTTTATTTTCAACGCTAACCTTCACAACCAAAACTAGCTTGTGACCTGTCTTACCCTGTTTCTCATTGCTGAAACAAAATACCTGACACCCAGTGTGAAAGAAGAAAAGGTTTATTTCAGCTTAAAACTTTTAGAGGTTTCAGTCCAGCATCAGCTGGCTCCAAGGCAGGATGGCTTAGCAAGGGGCCATCCCAGAGGAGAAATAGACCATGGAAAAGCAAGAAGAAGGCAACTGCAGCAAGAAGCAACACACCTGCCTTATTTCTGTCCCTTTATATTCCACCCAGGTTGAAAGCCTGTTGATTGGTGCTGCCTATACCCAGGGTGGGGCTTCCATGATCCATCACCTTAATCCCAGTATCACACGCTTAATCCAAATTGCACACCCTAATCCAGCCACCTTTAAAGCTCTCTACATACGACTGCATGAACTTTGGGGAGAGCATCGATATACAAGCCATAACATGACCCAAAAGATGTCAGCTTCCTAATTTATTTATAATAAAGTCCTTTGGCCATTGTGTTGATTGGTTTGTAGAAATCATGTTTCATATCAAAATAAAACTAGAATGTTGGTGACATAGCTCAGTCGCAGCTTGCTTGCCTAGCATGCTTAAGGCCTTGGGTTTGATCCCCAATACCACTACCCTCCAAAAAAGAAAGAAAACTAGTTGGGTTTTTTTGTTTTTTGTTTTTTGTTGTTTTTTTTTTACTTTTTCCATATAAATAATGTCATATCTTAAGAAACTAATCCATTTAAAATTAGTCACATATTTTAATTCTTAATTTTATATTTTGGTATTGCTGGTATTAAATATATTTTCTAGGTTAACATCCTGATGGTCCTGAAAAAAAAAATTCTTAAAATCTTTAGTATACAGGGAAACTTGCTACATAACATTTAAATTTTCATGCAGTGTTTCTGCTTAGCAGAAATATGTCTGTTATAACAAACTTCTTTGAGACATTTTTCATCTGTCAAATCCTCTTTGACATGTAACAGTTCTAAAAGTCTTCAGTGTGAACTCAGAGGTCTAGAAATTCAAACAACCACTTATGTAGTGAGTTAGTAATAAATAGTGGACATACAGTCAAATGCCAGGTTCTTGCTGTGGATACCACTGTTCTACTTGTCTAGGATTCAGGAGACTCGCCTCCAGGTCCTGGCTCTGTCAACTGTCAACTATGAAAATTTGTTAAAATCAATTAACATTTAAAGCTTTTTTTTTTTTTTTTTTTTTTTTTT